TAGGAGGATTCTGGAAGCAAAACTCGGGCATTATTTTCAAGAAGAAATACTCTACTTTTGATACGTAGCCATGTATTTACCAAACTACGCACTGTACGGGACTAGACTTGATTGAAATTTGTGACTGGGTTTGGCGGTGCTTTCCAATACAAACATCAAGTATAAAGGATTTGTATTGACCCGGAAAAAAATCGATCGAGTTTTCTGGTACATGTTGCTGAACTGAGCAAGCCCAGCATCGCTACCATGTTGAATAGACGCCAATGAAGACACTAGTCAGCTGACAGCCTCAACTTACGAGTATAGACCTCTCCACACTACTCTTCTATACAAATTCAAGATAGTGCGTGTCTCCATTGAATCTTATCAACCGCGTCAGCTTAACCTTATTTGAGCAGCTTACTACAGTGAAGTGCGTCGATAAGGAACGGGCGACATTTTATATTCTACGACAAGACATGAATCCTCGCTTGTACCCATTGTGTGCCAATTGTACTGAATTAGTTATATGATTCTACCAATCATTCGGTCCCGTTTAACATTCCGCCAATCACAGTTCCGAAACCGAGCCTCAAGAGCGGCTGGATGGAGCGGCTCCCAAGTCGGGGGAAAATGGAACCTAAAGGTCGCGAGAGGGAATCATGAGCATGAGGATCGCTGTGAGCGCGGGAATCGCGCCAGGTACATGTCTGCATGCCTCATTAACCAACTTTCGCTCTGCTGCTCACAACTCCCATGGTGACCGCCACTTCCAGACCGTTCGAGAGGCGGCTACGTCTGACCAAGCTTCAGTCGCTGCTAATCTGTCATCGCCGTCGTGATCTACCGGGTGCTACCTATGCTGAGTTGGCTGCGTGGGCTCAAGCCGAGACTCTGGTCGCGAAGTCCGACATGAACTACATAGTGCAGTAAATCAGTGCATTTGCTGTCTGCATGTGACGAGTCAAACCTTTAATTATCAATATACCTTTTTCTTTCAATGTATATCAGGCGTTCCTTATCGACGCACTTTACTGTACCGGTAGGCGTTATTCGAGCTGTTCAATGGAGTTAGTTCATTTATTACGCTTGAAACAGCTCTCCACGAGTTTGTTACCAATCTTACCGATAGCTTACCGGGTGCGGCTATAATTTTGACCCGACCCAAAGTCGGTTTTTCGTCCATTGCAAAAAAACGGTTACAGCTTTTTCGATTCTGATTGTTGCATCTGTTTTCTATCGATTTTAGACGAATCATAAGCAGCGGTTTGGCGCCGAAAGCACAATCATTGGTTTAAAAAAATAATTTTTGGGGTGCGGTTATAATTTCGGCGCGCACTGTATATCACGTAGATGCGGTACCGTGTTTCTGGTACAAAACTGAGGGAAGAAAAATCCAACCGGCCATTTCCACATTTCCCCTCCAAGCCTTGTCCTGTAGCGCCACCGCCCACCGGGACTAGCAGGCATGCCCGCGCCCTTGCCAACGTCGTCATGATACTACTGCCGCATTGCTGACTGTGTACTGCTGTGCTGCTGCAGATGGACATGTCCAGCCAGTTGGATCCCCAGGCTTTGGCCGCGTTCGTGGACGACAGTGTCTTTGCTCAGATGAGCGGGAAGCTTGGAGCAGACGCATCGCCGAAGAAAAATCTTTTCGTTGCGTGGATGCTGGTCGACTATCCCAACAAAGCCACACTCCAACTCGAGGCCTCCCAGAACCGGATACATGGATTGATATGGGTGGAGATCAGAGAAGCATACGGGCATACACGCGTGTCTCCACCTCTTGCACAAACTATTGCGGCCAAGACGGTGAAAGACCTCCTGGCAAAGTTTGTCCCTGAAGCCCGCTCCGGCACGCCCAAGTTGGATGAAAATGAAATGAAGCGAATCGCGGAGGCGTTCACCAAGGGCCGGTACCTCGGCGAAGCCCACCTCGACCTCGCACAGTATCTGCGGGACTGCTGGAAGGCCTACACCCCCACAAAGTACAAGGCGCCATGTGTGGCGGTCGTGCAGAGTTCTGGCTTCGGCAAGAGTCGGATGGTGCGTGAACTCGCGATTGAGGCTCAAAAGAGCGCCTTGAACATGAAAGTCCTGTACATGTGTGCTCGTGTGCACGAGTCGACGGGGTTTCCCAAGGCTACGAGCGAGCTTCGTGGTTGGCTGTTTCAAGAAGGCTCCGAAGTGGAAGACATCGCCAGTCGATTGAAGACAATTTACGTCTACGCGAACAAGCATTGGGCGGACGTTCAGAAGGAATGGCTGAAGCTGTTTACCGAAAAGGCAGCGGACACCTCTGTAAAGGCGAAACTTTCGGATGAAACAGATACGCTGGAGGGGGATACCTCCACCGAGAAGAATCCAAATGGCAGAATCGTGGTTCTGGTGATCGATGAAGCGAGAAGCCTGCTGACTGAGAAGCCAGACAAGAAGAATGACTTCCGAATGTTGCGAAATGCTCTCAGATCCGTGAACAAAGATATCGGCCATCGTGGATGCATTTTCGGCGTGCTGATTGATACGAACTCCAGGATCTCGGACCTGGCGCCTCCGCTGTTGTTGGACCCATCATCTCGGCTTTTCGATGGAGAGTTGGCATCGTTTGCGCCAGTTGTGTTAGCTGAGACAATGGACGCACACTGGGATCAATACTGTGAAGAAAAACAAGCCGGCGAAGATGTGAAAGAGGACATCCAAGATGTAGATGAAGAAATGAAAGAGGAAATACTAGATGCGGGAGCAGAAGATGAAGAAATGGAAGAGGAAACTCAGGTTGCGGTGGGAGCTGAAAAAGACGAAGAGAAGAAGAAACAGCAAGAACGTGCTAAGATAGCTATGTACAAGAGAATCGTTACCGGGGATGCGAGTCAAGCTTGGCACGCGTTGTGCCGCATGGGGCGTCCGATGTGGTACAGCACTTGCCCCAATCCTGCGGATAGAGAAGATGTGATCAATCTTGCGGCGAACAAGCTGCTACTGGGGATTCCCCCTTCGCAAAATGCGTACAACAAGGATACCATGCTTGGTGTCGCCTCCATGCTTTGCCGTCTGGGCGTGCGCCCGCATTCAACGTCGGCTCTGGCATCTCGGGCGACTGCCGACTTCATGGCGATTCTCGCCTATGTGAATTTCAAGCGAGAAGGTTACGTCACCAGCTACGCTTCGGACCCAGTGCTCGCCTTAGGAGCGATGAAAGTGTGGTATGAACTGAAACATGGTTTGGCAAAGTATATCCTGCCGCAACTCAAGAACCTCCTTTTGGATGAAGCATTGGACACCGGTGGAGTTGGCGAAATTGGCGAGATGGTTGCTCGGATTTTGCTGCTTCTGGCGATGGACACGTGTGTGATGGGGGACAAAGACTTTTCCCAGTGGTGCCACACGATCGGGCAATTTGTACCGGTGCAGCAATTCTTGAAGGTGCTACAAGGCAAGAAAAAGCTGCCGATATATCTCAAGCGGATGATCAGCAAGGAGAATTTGAGACCAGAATTCAACAAGTGGTGCTCGAAGTGGGATGGTTGGTACATGGGGTTCACCCACTTTGTGCAGTTGCAGCTTGAGCCGAATGAGGACACGCTTTGGTTTTTGCTGGGGCGTCAAGCTGCAGGTATTTTCCCCCGTAACCAGTATGGAGCCGATTTGTTGATCCCGATGTTTAAGAAGAGATCCAACAGCAGGCCAGTCGGTGGGGAGACAACGAGGGGTGAACAAGAGGAGCAGGAAGTGTTGATGATGTTGATTCAAGTGAAGAATCGTTCCCCAGTCGATGGTGGGTTTTCCAGGGCAGCGACGGAGAAACTATGCCCCTGGTTTGTGTTCGGAAAGAACAGTGATGGGAACTCGTCAGCGGGGAAATCTACCGGTGAAATTGGTGGGGATCCGAACCCGCTGAGCTCCACGGATGTCCGTGATACCATTCGCATCTACATGAATGTGCGCGGTCGGAAGAGTGACGGCAAGTTCATCTATGCCACGACAATGAAAGACAATCTTAAGCCCAAGAAGAAAGGCAACGTCTCTGAGGTGAAGGAGGAGAGTCAGACGATCGGGAGTCAGGCGAAGAAGCGGGCGAAGATCGAGAGCAATCCTGGCGTCTCAAGTGTGTCGAGTGTCTCAGAGGAGGAGCCTGTTTTCACGATCTGCCTCCGTTTACTCAACAGGGTCACCTACCCGTTCCTGAGCGACGGCGTGGCTTCCATTCTATCAAACATGGTGGAGTCTCAGTATGACCCGCTGGGGCTTGTGGAGGGCGACCTGGACTATCGCGATGAAGATGAAAAACGAAACAAGAACGTTAGTTCGTATGCAAAGTTGTCGCTTACCGCGACGCGCGACAAGTTGTTGCAGAACGCCCGTAAAGCACTAGCGTACGCGCCGGGTGACAAGGAAGAAGAGTGACGATGAGAGTGACGTTGGTGGCAGTGGTGAGGGCCACTAGGCGATCAAGGTGGCGAGACGGAAACATCCAAGAAACGAGCACGTGAAAACCAAGAGGGTGAAGAAGGCCGTCCCACTAAACGCGCCAAGTGATCCAACAAGACGCCCAAGCCCACACCGAGGCAGTAACAGTACGTGCCTGGTGCCTGCAGCAACTACCGGTAGTTTTAACTACCAACAATTTGTTTTACTTGAGAGTACGCAGCCACCTCCAGTACGCTTCACCTTGCAGTCTTACGGAAGTGGCACGTCTTTTGCTGTCTACGTCGTCTTTACTGCTCTACCTACTCGTCCTGCAGGAACGGGTATTATAGTCCGTGTACCCGCGCGCGTCGCCGAGGTAGAACGTGTCCGTGTCGTAGTCGTTCACGGGCTTGTTGAGTTGGAAGCGCCGCACCAGGTCCGGGTTCGAGATGAAGTGGCGGCCGATGGCCACGGCGTCGGCCGCGCCCTCCTCCACGATCTGCACGGCCGACTGCCGGTCGAAGCCCGACGCGGCGAGGAGTACGCCCTTGTACGTCTCGCGGAACTGCCGCGCCGAGCCTTCTCGGGTGCCAGCGGGTTGCGGACGTGGTAGCCACGCGGCTCGATCAGGTGCGCGTAGGCCAGGTCGTAGTTGTTGAGCCTGTTCAGCACGTACGTGTAGGTGGCGACGGGGTCCGAGTCCTTGTCGCCGAAGCTGCCGCCGAACGGGGACAGTCGGATGCCCACCTTGGACGAGTCCAGACTCTCGAGGATGGCCTCCAGTGCCTCGAACAGGAAGCGCGCGCGGTTCTCGACGCTGCCGCCGTACTGGTCGGCGCGGTCGTTGATGCCGTCGTGCAGGAACTGCTCCAGCAAGTAGCCGTTGGCGGCGTGCAGCTCGACGCCGTCGAAGCCCGCTTTGAGGGCGTTCTCCGCGGCCGTGCGGTAGTCCGACAACTGCAGGAACATCTTGCCGTGCACGGCCTTGGTCACGTGGCGCCAAGCCTCGATCTGCTGGGGCGCGAAGATGTCAGGGGAGCCCCAGGATCCGCGGCCCGTGGGCGTGATGTTGGTGGCCTCGGCGATGATGAGGCCGCCGGGCGTCGCGCGCTGCTTGTAGTACTCGACAACTGCAGGATTTCTCGACGTTTTCCTACTGCATTTTTGACGCAATACGAACGATGTGAAAGTAGAGTATCGCGGCGATATATACGTTATGGACACCAGGGCCTCAGAGTTTTAGTTTTTCACACTATTAGAACGCCTAGGCGTTGTATTCGGATAGACCGCCTAGTAGGCGTTCTATTTTATTTCAATGCCTGGGCGTCTGGTAGCAGGCATGCCCCCATTCTCGCCACCGCCGCCATGATACTACTGCCACTTTGCTGACTGTGTACTGCTGTGCTGCTTTGCAGGTGGACATATCCAGCGAGTTGGACTCCGACACTTTGGCTGCGTTCGTCGACGAGAGCGTATTCACTCAGTTGAGCGAGGAGCTTCGGAAGACGAAGAATGGCGACGATCAGCCATTGGCGAAGAGAAATCTTCCTATGATGAATTATCTGAAACAATTTGTCGACCCCAGCAACCTCCGGGGCTCCCAAAAAAACGATAGATAGCTTAACCCTATCGTTACCAGAATGATACATCAAGTATCTTTTTACTGGTGATGTAGTAGCAAGATAACTGAAACAGCAATTTTCTGAGCCACGGCAGTTTCCTCGCCGTTTATGACCAATCATACAGCTAAGAGGGATAGGTAAAAACCCCACGCTATTGTGTCTTCTGTAGTATATCTATCAACACTATTGTGTCCCCAGGGGCACGGATGCGATCGTCGAGCACAACGCCAGCGGCAGCCGCACACAGGTCGCCGCCGGAAGTAGCGGCAGCAGTGCCGCCAGCGACATCGGCAGCAGGGTCTCGGACACGATGGAGGTGACCGTGGCCTTGGAGGACGCGGTCAGGGGCGTCTCCGCCGACATGGACACGGACACGGACGCGATGGTGGCGGGGGACTCGGGCAGCAAGCATAACGGCGGTCGCAGCGCCGTGTGTGCGCCGGCAACATCATGACCACGGACGCTTGGGCGTGACCGTTGTCGTGCTGGAGGTGGTCGTGGGTGCCTCCACCGGCACGGAGGTTGGCAAGGATGTGACCGGTGACCAGACAGCGTGCGTAAATGCATCGACAGTGCGGAAGGAGACCGTTGTAGAGGTGCCAGCAGTACCGTCAGCGGCATCAACAGCATGACGTCCTTTGTAGAGATCGTGTCCGTAGGGGAGGAGATCGGAGGCAACTTCGTCAGCATGGAGTCGGACGCAATGGTAGCGGGCGACTCGGGCAGCGAGGGCAGCGGCCGTGGCAGTGCCGTCAGCAGCATGACCTCAGATGTGGTGGTGGCGAACGTGGCCGTGCTGGATGTGGTCTGAGGCGTCTTCGCTGACATATACACAGTTGGGAGTTATTGTTCGGCTTGGAGGCGCGTGGAATTTCTAATAGCATCCTGTCGGATTATACGCAGTGGAGTGTGGTTAGCTTGCCGCTATGGTGCACCAGTGGTAAAGCAGTATGTTGTCAGCCACGAGCTAAATCCGCATTTACGGCATCAAGACTAGCGGGGGCAGATGGAATAGGTGTGACTTAGTGCAGTGAAGTATAAATGGTTAGTTGACTTTGACTATCTTGAAAAAATGATGTGAGGTTACGCCTTGGTGGCTGCGTTAGCCTTCTTTTGGTCTTGGCGGGCCTTCAGAAATGGACGGTTAGCTACATAAATTGGAGAGGTTCGTCGCAAGTTGCCGTCGACAGTGTACACTTGCTTCGGCAAGTAAAACAAATGGTATTTCTGCCAGCAAGTCCAAGTTTGCTGTTGGCACAGATGCTGCTTCGTAGGGTCAACAGGGTATGTGCGCTTGCACAACGCAACTCGATGGGTCTCGCAGTAGTCGGTTTTCTCGGCAGGATCTCTGCCCTCGAACTTGCACACAGTGCATTTCCGCATTGAGCGACTCCTTCCCTGAAGCACCTCCGAGGACGCTCTTGCAACACACGTTTGTGCGTGATCACCCGAAGACTCGGATACATCTGTCGACGCCGCGGTTTGGGTCGTCATCGGCATTGTTGTCGTTGTCGGCTTCGCAGCATACACCATTCCATGTTCCCTATCCAGAGATTTCTTCCAGTCCCCATTGAATAGTTCTCGAGCCAGTGATGCCACAAATGCGCGATGACTATCGCGGGCTCTTGACCTCGTTTGGGCTGTACCTCCCGTCGAACGAGACTCCTCGCTCTCACCACGCGCCAAACTATCGCAAATGTAGGCATTGCACCTGGCTATATCAAGCATGACCATCGCTAGTTTTTTATGCCACTTCTGAAATGAGTGGCCATCGGCTAGAGAAAATCGTGCACGCAGTTGGTCGAGCCGATCAACACCTTGCATCGCTGAATTATACTCGCCGACGCAAGTAGGAGCAGTGAAAGCCACACCCGATTCATTTATACGACGATGCACAGTTGATGTGGTCGAAGCATCGGCATTAGACACGACATTGACAATTGAGCCATCCACCCAACTAGCTGCGACAATATGCTTCTCTAAGCATACACCTTGCTTCATGTAGCCTCGCGGCTTCGCGTCCTCCTTACGAATCATCGTAAAATGAGGGAAATGCTTGCTAGACGTGCGTACAGTGCCACGCCCATAGAGACCAATCGATCGTAAAGTCTTCAACAGCAAACAGGAAGTCCCTGTTTACAATGCGACTGGATCCTTTCAAAGATGAAGTAACCGCCATGACGTGAGAGCGGATTTCAGACGACTTCGCGGTTAGATCAGCGAATTTCTGCACTTCTGAGCGTGAAATTACACCGTCCAGCCGATCATCAAGTTCACTGGAGCAGTGCAACTTGAAACTCACCGCGTACCACGAGGTAGAACAGCAACACTCGTATAACTTGAAATGATACTTTCCGGTGGGTTTTTGTGGGTTGAAGACTATAATGTGGCGGGCATACTGGGATCGGCAGGCAATTGTGGCCTCATCAACAGCCACGTTTCGACCGACTTCAACATGGCGTAGGCATCGCGATTTCAGAATGCTCATGAGTGGTCGTATTCTAGCTACAGGACCGCGCTTGATGTCGGAGGTAGACACCTTGGAACGAAAACTCAAATTCTTACGGATGTACAGGAATCTTCGCCATGTCATAATTGACTTCAAACTAGTAGTACGCGCTCCAGGAAAAAATAGTTGCTTCCTCGTCGTCCACCTAGTAATTTCTCATCTCACCCTTGTCGAACAGA